TTTGTCTAACAGTCCTGGCTATCCTGGAACATACTTTGTAGACCAGGCTATCCTTGAACTCACAGAGATCCACCTGCCTCTGCCTCTCAAGTACTGGGATTAAAGGCGTACGACGACGACGCCACCACCACCTGGCTCAGAGGACAACTTTTATTTCTGTTTTATGTGTGTATGCCTGCTTATCTATGTGTGTACCACCTAAGTACAAGTGTCCTTTTAAGGCCAGAAGTGGTTGTTGGGTCCCCTGAAACTGGAGTTACAGATAGTTGTGAGCTGCCCAGTGTGGGTGCTGGGAACTGAACTCAGGTCTCTTCAAGAGCTGAGCCATTTTTCCAGCCCTGAAGACCATCTTTTGGGAGTTGGTTCTCACCCTCCACGGTGGCATCCAGGAATCCAGTTCAGGTGGTCACTCTTGCACAGAAGACACTTTTACCCTGAGCAGTCCTGCCAGCCTCTATCCTGGGTCAATGACATTTTCCCACCCTGCCTTCCTCCTGTAAAACCAGCCACAGTATTTCTGAAACTAAATGCTAAGCAGGTTTCCTAATACTGCTGTTTATTTCTATTTCTGACCAACCAAATTGCAGTTTTTATGGATCAGTCTACCTTTCACTCTTCTGTTTTCTGCTTGGCTTTGTGTGTACCACGGGAAGCCTGGTCCCAACAGGCCGTACGTTTTCCTAAATAGGACAGTAGAAACCTTTCTCTCACCATCTATTAACATCCGTCCCACTCTGCTCAACCCAGTTTAGGCACGGTTAGGAATCACAAAGGACAGGCCATCCTGAGTGACAGAAGCCACGTGCTGTCACCTGAAGTATGGAGATTATCATCTTTGTACTGTGAAGTCACGGTGTAAGGCAAAGGAGCTGCTTGCCGAGCTCTTGGCACCGTCTCCTTCACTTTACATTCTGCTAACATTTGTTGAAGCAAAATGGTCTGTGTGCCTGCACATTCTAAAACACAGCTGGGATCTGTGGGGAAAGGATTGCTGCCAAGCCTGAAGATTCCAGAACCCAGATGGTGAAAGTAGAGAACCAGCTCCTCCAGGTCGTCCCCTAGCCTCCATATACTCACCACTGTGTGCATTTAAATGCACAAGCGCACATACACCAAACATTAAAAAGAAATCTACACAACTTAACCCTGAAGACATTCATACCATCCCTTCTGCAGCTCGGGAAACGCTGCAGAAGAGGTGGAGACAAGGTAAGAGCTAGAATGGGAAAGGGCTGGGAAATGACATCATCTGGGCCAGCTAGCGCCATCAGAATCCTAACACTGAATTACTATAAAGTCCACACTAGGTCTGCACAAGAATGGGACAGTCAACAGCCCAGGTGTTGATGGAGGAGGGGCCTGGGAGCCCCATCCCTCAGTGTAGAACTAGTTTGATGATAGAGTCAGAAAGGGGAGGAATAGTTGTGAACCCACTGATGATCCCACCAGGTTCCAGCACAAAGTTGCAAACCTACAATCACAGATAGCCTTGGTTTAACTCAATATATCGCAAAGCAAAACCAAAATGAGGCCAGTAGGGATGGAGATGGGGTGTAAAGGAGTGGGAAGGAAATAAAGGGTGTGTGTGGAATAACCATAATGTATTATATATATAACCACAAAATGGTCAAGGAACTGAAAAATAAACGCATACACATTGTTTATGTAAAAATTTATTTGACCAAAATGTAGAAAAAGTGATATTATCACATATGATACAATTGCAAGAATCTAGAGAACAGAGTAGGTTTTATTCAACTGCACAGTTTGCTACAAGTTCACCTCCCTGGTAGTGTGATGCGTAATAAATAGGAGTGAGGGGCAGGGGTTCAGATAGGCTAGAAGCAGGGTGATGTTCAGTCGGAATTGTAAACTCGAGTTGTTCCCACGCTGCTAGGGAATGTGGAATGTTTCAGTCTGAGATGTTAACTGAGAAAGCAAAACAAAAAAAAAAAAAAAAAAAAAAAAGTGCAGCCTACGGAATACTCCACATCCAGTTCCATCAGGAGTTTCTTGGTCTTTACTAGTGTCATTCCCGAGGGAATTCAAGTCTCGGCAAAGTCAAGCCTCCATTTGTTGTTCCCTGAACAATGGAGATGAAGTTTAACCACTTCCTTTTTCTATCACCTTGCTGCTGGAGAGGACTTTTGTTGCCCAGCATTTGTTATTAGAACAGTCTCCTCAATGTATTGATGGCTAACAGTCTTTTTGTTTGTTATTTGAGACAGGATCTCACCATGTAGCCCTGGCTGGCTTAAAACTCACTCTGTAGCCCAGGCTGGCCTCAAACTCACAGAGATCCGCCTGCCTCTGCCTCCCGAGTGCTGGGACTAAAGGCGTGTGTCACTGCCGCCTGGCTTTGCTAGCAATCTTTGACATGACTGATCTGAAAAGGACTGGACTCTGCCATATTCCTTGCTGAGCATGTCATTAGACCACAGCAGACAAGTCCCGGAATAAGACACTTGCTCCTCAGAGGACACTTTTGGAGTGAAAGGAAAATGTGCACGGAACAGCATCAAGGATCTGTCTGAAGATACACGGGCAATCACCCCAGCATCCTCACTTGGAATGCTTAAAGGAAGTTTGTTCTGCACAGTGGAGTGTGGAGCCGGCTCAGCATGATCAGGCTTGACTTCCCATAGCAGCCCGTTTTTTAATTTTTGCTCTAGGTGGAAAATTCCTACACTTTTTCTTGTGACAACCCCCAGCCTCCCATAACTTCCCCAACAGTGACCAGATACTATCAGATACAGATACTTGAGCCTGTGCTTAAAAGTGTGGGGCTGACTAATTCCCAGGAACCAAATGCCCTCAGCCTTAAGCAACTACACTCAGTGTGAAATTCCCTGCCTATTTTAGGAATAAATGCAATTTAAGAACAAGACTAGCTGAAGAAGCTGGTGCCATTTGAAAGGAAAAGGAAAGAAACTTAAGTGGTGCTCAAAGCTTGTCTGATACAAAATATTTGGTCATGAATTCATTATCTGCTTGGCATTTCCAGCAAGGTGGAGACACAGTAACAAGAGGAACTTCTTACAAGAGAGGAAGACATGGCACACTCTCTGGAGTCGAGTTGGTGGTGGAACAGGACTCTTCTGGTTTGGGTTATATACAGTTAAGTTCGTTTAGTGTCTGATCCAGTGTCTGATGTAAGCCCACATTCTCTTCTTTGGCCTGGGCAAGTTTTTCTGTTAAGGATTAAGACAAGAAGGAAAAATGAATTAATAAGCATCTTTGTTAAAGGAAGGAAAAGGGGGGCACCTTGAATTGTCAGTGAAAGTCACGGCTAAGAAAGTACTTTATGCTCTAATCACACAGAATACCATGGAGTAATAGGGATCAAGGACCAAACAAGATAAAATATGGAATATTAGGCTGGGCGTGATAATGCATTATTTGAATCCTAGCACTCAGGAGGCAGGTAGATCTTAGTTTGAGACTAGCCTGATCTACACAGTAAGTTCCAGGCTAGCCAGAACTGTATAGTTAGATCCTGTCTCAAAAACAAAAACAACAAAAATGTCTACAGCCTGGCTTTGTGATGTGTACCTGACACTCCAGCACACATGACCTCGTCTCACTCCTACCCCCAACCCAAAGAAAAACCCTGGGTTGGTAGGATTCCTCATCAAGAAAAGAAAAGGCACTTGTTGCCAGGCCTGATCATCAAGGTTTTATTTATTTACTTATTTGAGACAGGGTTTCTCCTGAGACAGGGTTTTTCTATATAGCCCTAGCTGTCCTGGAACTCACTGTGTAGACCAGGCTGGCCTTGAACTCACAGAGATCCACTTGCTGGATTTAAAGGTGTGCACCTCCCCTTCCATAATCAGTTTTACCTCTGGGACTCACACAATGGAAAGAAGAGAAGCGACTCCTACAACCTGTTTTCTGACCTCCACACATGCACTGTGGCACGTGAGCACCTCCCCCACAAACACAAACTACAAATAAAAATTTAACATCCCAAATGTTTCATGAGATGAAAACTCAATTGGCCAACTGCCCTGTATTTTCCTTTGCTAAACCCAGCAATCTTTGAGCCAGAGCACTTGGACTGAAGCCCTATGATGTACCATTAGAGTGAGCCATTTAATCTTTCCAGGCCTCAGTTTTCCCATCTGTGATGTATTACACCAATGTGTGTAATATAGGCCTTAGGAGAACTAACTAGGACATGCTTCAGAACTCAGGAGGTGCTATACACATAAAAGATTTTGGTCCTAGATACAGGTGACTTGTTAGGAAAATATAAAATCCTATAACCCATTTTTCTTTGCAGTGTCTGGAGATGACTGTTGTAATCCCAGACATACCATGTTCACTGTCTGTGTGCCTCTGGCACTGGAGTCAGATGCCAGGTAAATGACACAGGACTGAAACCTAAGTCAGACAGCAGGCAAACTACTCAATAGCTGAACTGGCTAAATACATTTTAAAAAAGACAGGGGTGGCTTGTGAGATGGCCAAGGTTCCTGCTGCCAACCCGCAAGACCTATGTTCCATCCCCAGGACCCAAACGGTAGGAGAAACTTGATCCCTTCTGTGTGCTCCCTTCAACCCTAAATAAATAAATAAATACAATAATTTGTAAAAGCTCTGCATGACCAAGCACGAGAGAAAACTGGTTTGTGTGAATGATGGTCGATAAGGACCAGGCCAGGAGTCATTAAAATACTGGAAGAAAGTGAAAGACCTCCTAAACTGTGATAGGATCAACCTGGAAATTTTCAGAAAGAAAAACACCTCAGACTGCAGCCTCTCTAAAGCCACAGAAGCTTTTATGTGACAAACTACTGTGACTGGCCCACCCAGGCTGGGTGAAGACTTGTCAACTGGATGCTCTTGGGAGCCAGCTGCTCCCTGTTCTTAGACACCTCCTGGTAATCCAGACTGCACCTTTGTTCAGCGTTGCACAGCTCAGTAATGAAGGTGGGATATAACCCAGGTCTTCTACCATCAACCCTGGTCCCCCATTCCAGCATGTTTTGTTAATTAGGTCTGAGAGGAAAGAGGCCCCCGTGGCCCACTCCCAAAGTGCTCCCTATCCTTGAGACCCTCAACACCGTTCAGACAGACAACAGGAAGGGGCTGAGCTCTATGGCATCAGTCTGTAGAAGCTCTTGTAGGGCTCTAGAATGATTAGACAGACAGGAAGGGATAGTTATTTCAAAGGGTGGAGGCTATTCATGTCTGGAAAACTGTCAGGGAAATACAGAGCAAACAACAAAAGCATGGTCTGTAATCTATCCCAGGGCCCATGCAAGACAAGGTATACAGGGCACGGTTTAAAAAACGCCCACCCCACCCCTCAAACAGGGTTTCTGTGTAGCCCTGGCTGTCCTAGAAGTTGTTCTGTAGACCAGGCTGGTCTCAAACTCAGAGATCTGCCTGTTTCTCCTTCCTGAGTGCTGGGATTAAAGGTGTTCACCACCACCATCCTGTTTACAAAATAGGTTAATGTAAATGGCACACAGGAATGGGGAGGCTGGTGGTAGAGAGGTTAGAGTTGGCAAAATGAATCTTTCCAAGGTCGGTCAGAGGTCAACCTTGGCTGCTCTTCCTCAGAAGTCATCTATCTTTTGTGTGTGTGTGTGTGTATCTGTGTGCAGGTGCCTGCAGAGGTCAGAAGAGGGTGCCAGGTCCCCTGGAGCTGGGGTTACATGTAGTTGTGAACTACTTGATCTGGATGCTGGGAAATGTACTTAGGTCCTTCGAAAGAGCAAGTGGTCTTAACCATGTCTCCAGCCTCCTTACCTTGCTTTTTTGAGACATGGTCTGTCACTGCCAGAAACTCACTCAGTAGGCTAGACTAGATGGCCAACAAGCCCCAGGGATCTTATTTCTTCTCTCCCCAGTGCTGACTCTACAAGCCCAAGTCACATCCTAGCCTTTTTACTTTAGTTACGGGGACTGAATTCAGGTCCTCATGCTTGAAACAAACAAACAAACAAACAAACAAACAAACAAACAAACAAACAAACGTACATGTTTTAGGGGTGATATGAGGTACTGGTGGTGATAAGATTAGGAAAAAGTAGACTTTGAAATTTGAGTTAAGCATGAACTTTCAGTGCCTGCGGTTCCCCTGGTTATCCCAAGTGCTATGGAAACATGTTCACCTTAGGTAATGTTGGAACTGGGGAAAACCCCGCTTTATTGCTTGTCTCTCCCCTCCCACACACTTCTGTGTATGTGCATATATGTTCACACCCCTTGTGCAGAGTACAGAGGCTCTATCACTCAACCTTATACTGAGACAGGGTTTCATACCAAACCTGGAGCTAGGTAGGCAGCCAGGGGGCCCTGGTGATCCTGTCTCCACCACTTTCCACCCCTGAGTGCTGGAGTTATATTATGGGGGTCGATGTCCAGTTTTCATGTGGGAGCTGGGGATCTGAACTTGGATCTTCCTGCTTGCTCAGCAAGCACTCTGTTACAGAGTCATCTCCCTCCCCCAACCTCTCTTTGGGAGGGTAGGTGTGAGACAGGATATGGCTATGTTGCTCAGACTTCAAATTCAAATCCTCATGCCAGCCTCCAGATGCCCAGTACCTTTGTTTCTTTGTCAATACATCAGGTTCACCTTCCTTCTACTGCTAATGGGTGTTATATCCCTTGTGTGGCTCCCTCCCCCCAGGGACAGGGCATTGGCTGACTGTTCCAGAGACAGTGGAGACGTGGGGACTCCGGTCATCATCCTCAGTGTAACAGACAGAACAAGAGTTGAATTGCAACCACTTGAATTCATAGCCGAACCCCAATCAAAGGTAGCCTCCTTTTATTCGCGGACTCATCAGACACTCTCTATTAAGAAACATTGACTGGGTTGCCACTCTGATTAGCCACTGCTGTGTTTCAGGACTCCTGCCAGATTGGCTTTTGGAATTATTTTCAGAAAAGGACCACGTGGGCATCATTTTTCTCTGGGTAAAGAGAGCCTCTACCTCTCATCCCAGCCACGGTCAAAGGCACCTTGTTCCAGCTCAAAGATGAGGTGGCAAGGACAAGATGAAGATGGCCTGTTGTCACTCCAGTCAGTCTGACACATGGGAAAAGGCCAGGAGGTGGGTCCCTGGAGTGCCAAGGCAGGAGGTCACCTGGAGATGGCTAAGACCCAAGTTGCCCTCAGAGAGAGGTTTGGTCATTGAGGGCTGGTTCAGATCCTTCATGATAGCCATTTCCTTGAGCTTTTGGGCGCTGTCTACATGGTGGTGTCCCCAGGGAGGGAGTCGAAGAGAGAAGACAGAGGGTTGAGATGGAACAGTGTAGACGAACAGGAGGAGAAAAGTGAGAAAACAGAGTGACCAGGACAAAGTTGAGCCCCATGTCTAACAAACAGCTATGGAGTGACGACGGAGAGGTCTCAGGTTCTGGACCGGAGTAGCCTAGAGGAACTCTTAAAATAATGGTGAGCTAGTCCTGGTAGCACACGCCTTTACTCCCAGCACTTGGGAGGCAGAGGCAAGGCCAGCCTGGTCTACACTGTAAGACCCTGTTTTAAGATAAATAACTCCCACTCCCATCACCACTGGGCCCAAAGTGACTTCTGATGATCTAATGACGTCGTCCTGCACAGGTCACCCTTTGGAATGGAGCATTTTCCCTTATATGGATAAGGGATATGAAGAATGAGTTTCACTCCCCTTCCTGGATGAGACAGCCTGGAGGATCCCAACCCCAAGTGTCTGGAATTTCCGTGCTCTATCTTGAAGAATACTAAAGTCACTTCAAGAAATGCTGAGTTGTGTGTGACCCCGGGGAACCGAGGCCCTGCGGCCCCTTTTTCCTTTTCTTCACACTAAGATAAATAAGCCTGGTCTCTGGGAGGGAGGCCAGCAAGAACCAGAGGCATTTCAAAAATGCAAGGCATCTCTGTGAGAATTCTGAAGACCTCACTGTGGAAACAAAGGCCAGCTCTGTCCCTCCACAGACCCCCTCACCCAACCTTTCATGTGTCACTCAGGGAGGTGGCGATTCCTACCTTCCAGGTCATCGATTGTCTTCTCCAGTTTGGAAACTGTCCTCTCTGCAAATTCAGCTCGGGTCTCAGCCTAAGGGAGAAGAGAGTCACTCCCCTGTTTCAGATCAGCCCCTCAAAAAGCAGGACATGGCTGGGTGTGGCCACACTCACCTCCTTCAGCTTGTCAGACAGAAGCTTGATTTCTTCTTCATATTTATCCTCCTTTTCAGAATACTGTGGGAGAAACCAAAAGGCAGTTCTTATAAAGGGGGGAAGGAGGCTGGAGAGATGGCTCAGAGGTTAAGAGCTCTCGAAGCTTTTACCGAGGGCCGTGTTCAGTTCTCTGCACCGCACGGAGGCTCACAGGGACTTGTAACTTCGGTGCCAGGGAACCTGACAGCCTGCAGTGCAGGCACACAAGGCAGGCAAAAACACTTGTGCACATTAAGTACATAAACAAATACTCTCAAAAAGGAAGAGCGAGCTGGGCGGTGACTCAGCGGGGGAAGCCCTGCCTGGCAGTGAGGACCCCAGCATCCACATAAAAGCCCATCGGTGGAGATGGGATCCCCGGAGCAAGCTGGCGAGCTAGCCTAGCCAAAGAGATGAGAAACCCTGCCTCGGCAAGGCTCCCACTAACAGAGGTCTGCATGCTGACACCCTGGCACACGCCAGGTCACCTAGACTGAAGAACAGGACAAAACGCAGCAAGGTCCCCCTCCACCTGACCTTTTCAGAAGCAGCCTCCAGTGACTTGAGGTTGTTAGTGACATTCTTGAGCTCCTCTTCCAGGTCGCCACACTTTCTGCACCAAGACAAAAGATGTGTGTTTTCTCTTACATTACAGCAGGCAATTCCCTTCCAAGAAGCCTCCGTTCCCCAGGGAATGCTGGGAGCTTAGCAAACCCTCTCCTGCCAGGGACAGGCAGAGGCAGGGCAGGAGGGCACCTGGAGGGTTTGCAAAGCAAACTCTGCCAGGGATGAGGCAATAGGGACTTGTGAAATCTGTGACCGGCCGGGCTTTCTCAGGAAGGTGCGCAAAGGAGATGAGGGCGGGAGGTGGGAGACGGCATTCAGAGTTCATACCGGACACTCCAGGAAGCAAGCCTAGAATGCACCTGTGAAGCCAGGGTGCTCCCAGCCCTGCAGGGCTCTCTGTGGAGCTGGATCCCTGGTCCAAGGCCAAGGGGAGAGGTGTTTTGTTTGTTGGGACCTGTGGGATTCTAGCTGAGCCACCCCAATTGGAACGAGTCAGGCACCAATACCAACATCAGAAGCAAAGCCCTGAAACGTGGGGCACCTGCCATCTACAGACAGCATTCTGAAGATCACAGTGGCCTGGCTGGGAGTGTGAAGTTAAGACAGGAAAGTCCAAGTTCCAGGCCAGCCTGGCTACATAGTGAAACCTTGTCTCAAGAATAAAAACGGCTAATAAGGAACACTGAGGAAATGGGGAGGGGATGTAAGAGCCAGAGGATGGGGAGGGGAGCTGGGAAAGGCTGTCTTCTGTACAAGACAGGGTTACTGCAAACCCACAGCTGAGGTGGCTGCCCACACAGGACCTGCACAGGAGGGCCTGACAACACTCCATCACGGAGGAGGTGTGGGCTCTGAGGCCCACCCTCCCCACGTAGCTATCAGCAGTCAATGGCCTCTGGGGGAGGAGGGGCTACATTTCTTAGTGGGGTCAATGACCCTCCCCACGCTCATGTGAATCTATATGTCTACTAACTATAGCAGGTCATACACAAGAAGAATGAAAGTTAGGAGGGGGCACACCGAGAAGAGGGTCAGTGGGAAAAGAGGGTGTAGGGGGTGTGATATAAACAAAGTAAAATGTGTGTGCATACATATATAAATAAAATTGTGAGCCGGGCGGGGGTGGCGCACGCCTTTAATCCCAGCACTCGGGCGGCAGAGGCAGGCGGATCTCTGCGAGTCCGAGGCCAGCCTGGGCTACAGAGCGAGATCCAGGAAAGGCGCAAAGCTACACAGAGAAACCAAACCCTGTCTTGAAAAACCAAAAAAAATTAAATAAATAAATAAATAAAAAAAATAAAATAAAATAAAAATTGCGAGGAACAAAAATTTAAAAGCTCATGGTTGCATGCCTGTCATCCCACCAGTCTGGAGTCAGAGGCAGGAGGATCAGGCATTCCAGGCTATAAGAGACCCTGTATCAAACAAAAACCAAAACAAACAAAAAAAAAAAACCCAGAAATCAAAGCAAAGCACAGTAGCCTTGGCTGGGAGCAGGAAAATTTGGGCCCTCTATGCTGTCCTGGGGTCTCAACCCAATTTCCCAGTTTCTTGATGGGAAAAGGACCCTTGGTAGTTAGAACCATCAGTAACCATGTGCTCTCAACTGATAAGCAAAAAAGGAGGGATGAGTCCTGAACGCTGGATGCCCAAGCCCTTGAGCAGAGGCCCCAGCTGCAGGCAATTCCCAATTCCCAGCACAGCCCGCTCTCCCTCCTCCCTCCTCCCTCCTCCCTCTGGAGCCGGATGAGCAGCTCAGCCCCGTTCTGCCACTTACAGTTCGGACACCTCCGCACGCTCCTCTGCTCTCTCCAGCTCACCCTCCAGGATGACCAACTTACGCGCCACCTACAAAGACAGAAGGGCCAGCTGAGACCCATCCCCACTACCAGGTCATTTCCTTGCAGATGTTGGTCCCTCCAAATCTACGAGCTCTGGGGCCTGCAAGGGATGGAAACATCTCAGGTCTCCAAAGTGAGGCAGGCAAGGGGAAGGTAGAGCTGAGCCACTGACCATGGAGGAAGAAGGACCAGAGAGAGCCCAGTGTGGTGGTGACACTGTCATTCCTGTTAGGGAGGTCCAGTTTCAAAGACACAACAAATCCAGGCATGATGGCTTGCGATCCCAACATTTGGGAGGCAGAGGCAAAAGAATCTGGAATTAAAGGTCACCCCTGGCTATATAAAGGGAGTTGGAGGCCAGCCTGAGATTCCTTAGACCCTTTCTCTAAAAACAAAATTCAGCCACGTCTAGTGGTTCATGCCTATAATCCCAGCACTTTGGAGTTGGAGGCAGGAGGATTAGGACTTCAGAGGTCATCCTTACATTCTTCTCTGTATGGGGAGAACAGCCTGAATGCAGAAGAACCTTTCTCAGGGAAAAAAAAAAAAAAAGAGAGAGAGAGAGAGAGATAGCCAGGCACAGTGGTTCACACCTATAGTTCCAGCACTTGGGAAGCTGAGGCAGTGGACACCGAGTCAAGAGTTCATGGCTAGCCCGGGCAGCCTGAGCAAGTGTGTAAGCCCATGTCCACAAAGATAAAAAACTGGCGGCAGAGCCTGACTGGCAGGCATGACCCTCGTATCTGCCAGCAGCCTCACATCCAGCTTAAGGGACGAGAGGAGGGAGCTGATCAGCGGGTCTCCAGCGACTCAGACAAGTGGCCGCAGGACTTTTTTTTGGCACCCATCAAGATAACTTCCCAGCCAAGTGGCTGTGCCTGGAAACACAGATGTTCCCACAGAGGCAATCGTCCTGCGTGTGGGCTTCCCCTGGGCTCCTATCGGCAGCACCATTCCCTCCCACTTCCTGCGGCCACCCCGCCGGCCCCACTCACCTCCTCGTACTTGCGGTCGGCCTCCTCAGCGATGTGCTTGGCCTCTTTCAGCTGCATCTCCTGGATCTCCATCTTCTCCTCATCTTTCATGGCTCGGTTCTCTATCACCTTCATGCCTCTGCAAACGGGGTGGGGTGTGAGAGCCAGGTCCTCAAATGCCTCCACCCGGGGCCCAGGCAAGGATGAGGACCTGCTGTCAACTTCCACATTCAGTTCACTGAGAAGCCCTCTGGTGCTGGGCACTGAAGCCAGGTCCGCTGCAAGGGCAGCAGGCGCTCTTAGCTGCAGAGCCAGCTCTCCAGCCCGTGATATCTTTTTGAGACAGGTCTCTCGCTGAACCTGGAGCTTGCTGCTCTCTACAGACTGGCTGCCATGGAACCCCAGGCCATGGCCAAAGGCCTTCGGTCTTTGCCTCTCCAGTGCCAGGATTAGACACACACACCCATAACAGCTTTTATGTGGGGGTGGGTACACTAAGTCAGGTTCTCAGGCTTGTGCGGCAAGCCCTTGACCACGGACAATCTCCCCAGACTCACTTTTACTCTTTTGAATCAGGGTCTCATATACCCCACGCTGACCTCAAACTCACTGTGCAGTGAAGGATAGCTTTGAATTCCTGATCCCCCTGCCTCGACCTCCTCGATGTTGGGGTGACGGGCTTGTACCACCACACCTGGTTTATGTGGTGTTGAGGATTGAACCCAGCTCTGTGGATGCCAGGCAAGCGTTCTTATCAACTGAGCTTCAATCCTACCTCCCAACACCCCTTTCATCAGGTCTTAGAAGACGGGGTTCTGGTACCTAGCCCAGGCGACACCCGCCTCTGCCTTTGGGAGCACTGTAAAGACAGACATGCATCACCACCCTGTCTGGTGGACCTCCAGCTTTCAAAAATCACACCATGCAGGGGCTCTACTATCCCCACTTCATAGACAAAAGAAACTGAGGCAGAGACAGGCTCAAGGTTATGGAGCCGCCAGGCAGCAGAACTGGCCCCTCTCCTCAGGGTGCACCCATGTTTGTTTCCTCTCCGCGAGACAGGCCTGAGCATCAGCAGTCAGCACGGAGTGCGCAGCCACACCTGCGGGAATGTAGAGGCGCAGGTGTAGTGGGAACCGAGGGGAGAGCCACAGAGGGCTTCTAGAGCCCTTATCCACATGAGGCTGAGCTGAGCGGAAGAAGAGAGCTGGAGGAGCCTGGCGGGTGAGTGGTCATGTCTGTCAATCTCGGCACTTGGGAGACCGAGGCGAGCAAGCCCGGCTCCATAGCGGGATCTTGTTTCAACAAAACAAAAGGCAAACAACGAAGCCCGAGTTTTACTGTGTGTGGTGGTGCACACCTTTAGTCCCAGCTCTCAAGAGGCGGAAGCCAGGGGATCTCTGAGTTCCAGGCCAGTCGGAGCTATACAGTGAGACTTTGTGTGAAAATCATAAAAAGAGAAACAAAGAAACAATCTCCAAACCAATCAACTAACCAACCAAAACCAAAAACACACCCCCGAGTCACAGGAGAGAAAGAACACGTCCATGCACCAATCAACTAACCAACCAAAACCAAAAACACACCCCAGAGTCACAGGAGAGAAAGAACACGTCCATGCCCAGGATGGGCGGGATGTTTATGCTGGGGGGAAAGGGAATTACTGGAAGCTTCCAAAGCCAGGGCTGAATGGAAATACAATGAACAAGCTGCCATGCAAAGACCACAGGGAAGGCAGGCACAACCCGGGCGGCCAAACTGCTCAAAATAAACTAGTTTCCAAAGGCGTGCTCCACCATACCTGGCTTTCAAGATAAACTTTTTTTTTGGACATGCAGGGGCTAGAACTCAGTGCAGTGTGAATGCTAAGCACGAGTCCTACCTTAGTGGCTCACCCGCCACCATCAAAAGGAGGGCACACTAGATACGCCGGAAATGACCCTCGGTCCCTGGGTAGAAGGGGTAGGGGATGCATATGGACTTCCTGTTTGGACTTGGATCCCACCTTTAAGATATCTCATTATGCACATGCCAAAAAATCCCCAAATCTAGAAACAACCAAACTCCTAAGTACTTTCTGTCCCAAGCATTTCAGATAAAGGACACCAGGTCAGAAAGAATGATGTCCGAGGGCAGCCAGAACAACTCAGCTGCCTCAGCAGAGCTTGCTCTCGCTGAGCTGCGTGGAACAGAGGCGGTCATGGGGATCCGAGATGGCCGTGGGTCAAATGCTTTCCCTGAGACCTGCTCCTGCTCCCCAGCACCACATAAAAACCTCTGCTAGGGAGGTGGGGACAGCATCCCTGGAGCTCCTGTCCACTGAGACCCTGTCTCAAAAACAAGGTGGAGATCGCGCGGTGGGAACAGGGCTTGTCACCACCAGTCTGACGAAGGGGAGTACCCACTCCTGCAAGATGTTCTGACCTCCACATGTGCTGTGGCACACACAATGAAATATAACCAATCGGGGGGAGGGGCTGGGTGTGGTGGGCACGGGGCACTCTTTTTGATTCCGGCACTCGGGAGGCAGAGGAATGTGGGTATCTGTGAGTTCTAGACCAGCCTGGTCTACACAGGAAGTCCCAGGACACGGACACACACACACACACACACACACACACACACACACACACACGCGGGAGTGGACAGATGATTGTGGAAAAAATGCCTGATTTATTTATTATTTTAATTCCACATTCATTTGTGTGTGAGCGCATTTGCCCCGGCACAAGTGTGGACGTTGTGAACACCTGCAGGGTTGGTTCTTCTTCCAGGGTGGGTCCCAGGCACCAACTGAGCTCAGGCTGTCACACTGGGCAGCAAGTGCTTTTACCCACTGGCGTATTGTTTTTGGTTTTCAATATTTATTTTATTTTTAACTGTGTGTGTGTGCGTGTGCGTGTGTGTGTGTGTGTGCGCGCAGGTGTACACAGAAGTCAGAGGTACTATGTTCCCTGGAGTTCATGTTATAGGCAGTTGTGAGCTGCCCAATATGGGCACTGTGTGTGTTCGGGGTGCGCACATCTGTGCCACGGACAACTTGCAGGAGGTTGGTTCTCTCCTTGCACCACGTGAGACCCAGGACTGAATTTAGGTCATGAGACTTGGTAGCAAGGGCCTCTACCCACCGGACCACCTCGACAGTCCAAGTCATCTAGCACGGAGTATAGAGCCTGGGCCTCTCACAGGCTAGGCAGGCGCTCACCACTGAGCAGCACCCCAGCTCCGCGCTGGTGTCCAGTGTCTGCCTGATGTCCACAGCAGCACCATCTGCAGTCAGGTCTTTGGGAGGAGCCTAGACTGGGAGCTCTTCAGTGCTGGGCCGGCCACCCTGTCCATGGCTCCTGTAACCATGTAGTCTGCCCTCTGCCCTCCAAGCCGAGACACACCAGAGTCACTCACTCCAGAGGAGGTGGGACAGAGCTCCCCGCGGAAGCCTCTTGGCACAGACACGACCAGAGCAACACAATCAGCTGTACACACAGCGATGGCTGGTTATGCACTGTCCCCGAAACACACCTGTGGTCATCCGAAAGCCTAACGCTCGCCACAGCAATGGGAACCGCCACTTAGGCACATGGCAGAGATCTGTCCCCCGATCCTGGGATGAAAGTCTGCGCTGCTACACTGACCATCCACCTTTACTTCCTCTTCTCTCCACATCATCTAGAAACTTCGTTTTCTCTAGACGGGGACCAAAGGCACCCTGGCTTCCCCAGAAAGCAGCAGCACACCGACGCCCCAGCCCCACACCTGCTCATTTCTGCTTTTCTCTGCCTGCTGGAATGTGTTCTCCTAGGCCACCATCAAAACAAAACAACGAACACCCAAGCTGGGCACGTGGGGGACCGTCTGTCACCCCAGCATTCAGGTAGCTGAGGCAGGAAGGTTGCTAGGAGTTGAGGCCAGCCTGGGCTACATGGGTAGACCCTGCCTCAAACAAAATAAAACAGAAAAGGGAATTAAAAACAAAAACAACAACAAAATAAATCCCCCAAATCACCACACAGAGTGTGGTGTTTACAGGACTGTCACACATCTGTAAAACCCTACTGGCTTCTCCTTCAGCTCTGAGGTCACCAGCACCATTTCAAATCCAAAATCTATGTGTAATATGGAGGCCAGAGGATGTCAGGTGTCCTGTTTATCACTCTGTCTTATTCCCTTGAGACAGGGTCTCTCAAAGAACCTGGAGGTAGGCTGGCCGCCAGCGGGCACCATCGTCCCCCTGTGTAAACACAGCCGGCTTTTCACATGGGTGTTGAGGATTTAAGCACTTATCTACTGAGCCATCAACCCTCACACACACCTTTTTAAGTCAGCAAGGGCCTCCTGGAGCCCAGGCTGGCCTGCCTGGAACTCCCGGTTTCCCCAGCTCCCCGAAGCGTTGGGCCCACAGGGGTGCACTACCACACCCAGCTCCATGCCCAGTTTCCCACAGGTCGGAGCATCCTACCTCTCGCTCTCATCTGCTGCCTTCTCTGCCTCCTCCAGCTTCTGCAGGGCTGTGGCCAGTCGCTCCTGAGCGCGGTCCAGCTCCTCCTCCACCAGCTGGATGCGGCGGTTGAGAGCAGCCACATCTCCTTCAGCCTGGGAAGAAGTCAGAGGTGCAGCCAGTTGAGAAGTGGCATGCTGGCGAGCGGCGGCCCCCACCCCCTGCCCTCAGTGACCCCGATGCCCTGCCACAGCCCACCCAGGCAGGGGCCCAGGCTCAACAGAATTCACTCTCATCTGAATCTAAATTTGATTCTTAAAAATTATTGATCTGTGAGACCAGGCCTCGAGAATTGACCAGGCTGGTCTCCGACTCAGGGAATCCTCCTGCTTCAGTCTCCCAGGTGCTGACACGATTGGCAAGTCACAGCACCCGGCCTCCCTGGAGAACAGGGAATTTCAGTCTCCTGCAAACTTTGAGGAATTCACTCTGTGACTGATGGCCAACCAAGTCGGCAGAGGAGAGACCACCCGTGCGGCTACCATGCGCCGAATAAGAATCCAAGTGCAACAGGAAGAAAAAAAAACAAAAAAAAACCAAGCCAGGGGCGGCTCCCTTGGAAGGCAGAGGCAGGCGGATCTCTGTGAGTTCCAGGCCAGCCAGAGCTACACAGTGAGACCCTGTCTCCAAAAAGGAAAGGAAGGAAGAAAAGTTAGACCTGGTGCGACATGCCCAACTCTCTGAGGGGCACCACTGGCTTCCTGGTGTTTTTGCCGTTTGTGGTTGCTCTTGTCGTAGCTGGAGAGGGACCCGGGGCCCTGTGCACGCACACTCACAAGCACACTGCCCTGGAGCTGCACTCCAGCACCGTTAGCGGGCTTTCCAGGGGCCCTTCCGCACACGGCATGCAGAAGAGCATGAGCTCTGAGGTCAAGTGGCAGCTGTGTCCCTCTCTGTACCTCCATCTCTCAGACTGAACACTTCACAGGACTAAGGGGTATGACCAAAGCCTGTGGCATGGCTTATCCCCAACACGGGGACAGACTGCGGGCCAGGGTGGGAGCTCTTACTGCTACGCTTTGTCATTATTTTTCTGAATTACACTCATTCGGAGTGTGTGTGTGTGTGTGTGTGTGTGTGTGTGTGTGTGTGGGGACCCGTGTGGCTGTCAGAGGACAACTTTCGGGAGTTGGTTCTTCCACTCCCCCATGTCCCAGGATTCAAACTCAAGGTAGGATAGCTGTTGGCAAGCACCTTTAACAGCTGAGCCATCTTCCTGGCCCTGGCTTCACACACAGTCCATCAGTGCACTGGTTTTGTTCAGTGACTTGGGGCTGGTAAGTCCCTTCTCACTCTGTCCCTCAGAAGCTTGGAGGCCAGGCCAGTCACCTAGGGATGGCCACCCTCAAGAAGGAGCACAGAAAGTTGGCCACATAAGATCCAATTAGCAGGGCATGGACACATGCCTGTGATCCCAGCTCCAAGCGAATGAAGCTGAAGGATAAATCATTTCAGGCTAGCCTGGATTATTATACAGCAAGTTCCTCTGCCAAAATACCAGAAGGAGGGGGAGCTGGGGAGCTGGGGAGCTGGGGAGCTGGCTCAGTGGGTAACAGTTATCATTGCACAGCATCAAGACCTGAGTTTAAATTCCATCACACACATTTTAAAAATGCATGCGTGGGTGCATGGGATTCAGCTGAAGGAGACACAGAGGAAGTCGGGCTATCAGCTTCCTTTCAGGGATAACCACTACATGGGGGCAGTTATAAAAATCAGGGAGAGTCTGGGTCCTCCCGACCCAGCTCGCAGAGCAGTAACAGAACAAGGCCAGGCTGCCTGTCAACACACAGACAAAAAGAGTTTGTGACCTGTGACCCCCCATCTCCCAACATCAATGTGTGCCTGTGTGTCTCAGGCTTCTCCTCCCACTGTGTGGGTCCTGGGGATTGAACTCAGGTCATCAGCCTTGGTGGCAAGAACCTTTACGCAGCGGAACCATCTCGGTGGCCCACGGGTGCCTCCTTTTAAGTCTTGAACCTCAATACCTATCACATTCCAAAAGCCAGGGCAGGGTTGGTTCCCGCCCAGGTCAGTTTCCAGGATATTTAGCAAAAGTATGCAATTAGGACTACTATCTAATTTGTTAACTTTTGTCTTTTTCCAAAAAGAACCTTGTACCCATCTGCAGTCAATAGTTCTTTCAGTCATGGTCTCCTGCAGTCCAGGCTGGCCTTGACTACATAGAGTGGCCTTGAACTTCTGATTTCCCTGTCTCAACCTCTCAAGTGCTGGGACTGCCTCATCCAGTTCACCCAGTCCTGGAGACCGACCCGGAGCTTTGTGCAGGCTAAGCAAGCTCGGCACCACTCAGGGACAGCCCCAGCCTCTGGAGTAGCTGGGGGCCACAGAGGTGCAGGGCCACACCCAGGGAGTAACCAACTTCCACAGCCACACTGAGTTTTTTGATTCAGGAGCTGTCTCAAAGAAAAAGAAGTTAGATTGATGAAGCACATTCTGAATCTTGGCACATTTTCAACTGCTTAAAATCGAAAGAGCTCTCGTTCATAAGCATGCCTTAACGGCCGTGCATACGGGCCCGCGTGTGACACACACACACACTCACACACACTCTTTCTCTCTCTCTTTCTCTTTCTCCCCGCCCCCCAGGCTAGTCATCCTGAGTTCCGCCTCTTCCTGCAATCAAAGCCTTCCACGGGCTACAAAGGGTTTCCCTTATAAGGTAAAAGAGGCTCGCTAGATACTTGTGGCCAAGGAACAGGAAGACGTCGGTTAATCACACAAAAATCTAAATGAAACCAGCTGTTGGGACACAGGCCCAGAAGTCGGCCACAGCCCCCGCCCCCCATTTCTGGTCTGGGTGCTTCTGGCCTGGAATCAACTTGAGACGTCTTTCCACAGGGAAGAGAAGCACACTTTGTCACACGAAGTTTTAAAGAAGCCCCAAGTTCTGCAAAAAAGCATCCCCCGCACCCCACCCCCCAGGCCGCCAAATTCCTGGCTTGGCTGGAGACTCGGGGCCATTTTGGAGCTGTCTAGGGTGGGACTGGAGTGTGAAAGGCCAGAACAGCTACTGTGTGGAGCTTCCACCCGGTTCTGAGGCTTCCTCCAGCCAAAGAGGCCCTGGAGGGACTCAAGGTTTCCACTCAGGCCAGGCTGTCGCCCAGACCGCCTTGGGAGGGGTCCAGGCGGTGCCTGCGCTGCCAACTCCACCTGGCCTGGCAGTTTCTGGGGTCCGCGCCCTGAGTCCCTACACTCTGGCTTCCAGGGGCCCTGGACGTCCCCCCAACACCCTTCCCTTGTCTGAGAGGCTCCTTAGCCAGCAAACGCGGCTCTAGTACCCAGGCTGGGGTCTCTCAGAGCCCCGGAAGCGTCTGGAATGCCTCTCTCTAGTCTGGTCTGGCCACCCACCTCTTTTAGCGGACTTTTGGGGAGAGAAACGCGAATCGCGTGGTTTGTGGGTGTCAGAGCTGGGTTAGAACCCAGATCCGCCTCCGGCCCCGGGCTTGACCCAGGGATGAAGAGGAGGAGGTGCGGAGGCCGCTTCCTCTTTCGGAGCTATTCATGCACCCGGGTCCCCGGACTCCCCGCGGAGACGCGCATACAGTGGGCGCTCCGACCTGGGCGGGTGGAGAGGCCCCCGGCGGGTATTCCCGGGGGCTCGGGGAGACGAGGTGAGGGGGTGCGGCAGGCCTGCGCCCTGATACTCCTGCCTCCCACCCCGCCCTCAGCCGACACGTCGCGGCCGCACCCCAGGGACGCGCCGGGAAAGTTCGGGCGCGAAGGAGCGAGAGCGCGCGCCGCCCCCGCCCCCACGGCGGCCGGGCCGCAGACAATGGGAGCGCGGGGTTCGCCCGGCCGCCCCGGAGAGCCCCCCCACGCCGGACTGCTCCGCGCCCCCTCCCCCTCATTTCCCGCCCGGTCGGCGTACGGCGCCCGCTCTGGGGTCCCGGGGTGCGGATGACCCAGGCGGAGGACTGAAGGAGGGAGGGGGGGAGAGAGGGAGAGAGGGAGGAAGGGAGGGAGAGCTGGAAGCGCACGGAGCCGGGAAGAAAGGAGGGCGCGAGGGAGCGCGGCGCGGGCCCGGGAGCGCGCGGGGGCTGCAGCCCCGGACG